CCCCGCGACGCACTCCCAGCAGGGCGGTTCTGGTAGCGGCAACCCGAGCGGCTCTAGCGTTAGCCTTGGCCGGGGCAGTAGCCGCCGCCAGTAGCGGGCACTCGGAGAGAAGGAGGGGTCCTGCTTTGGCCCGAGGACCGCGGGTAGGGAGTTCTCGCCGCTCTAGCCCGCTGAGCCCCGGCGGCTGCAACACTGCACCCTCGCGCTCCAGCTGCCGAGAGAGAAGTTGGGGTCCGACCTGACGCATGTAGGGCCCCGGCCCCCGGCGCCGCCCGGATCCCCTAAGAATCGGCTTCCTGCGTGCCGCCACTTCAGGGGTTACACACCAGTGAGTGTCGCGCGGGTCCCAAGTTGGGGGGCGGCAGGTTTCGTACCCTCCGGCGACTGCGCCCTCTGTTCCCCCTTTCTGAGCTCTGGCTGTGGGGACTCGTGGCCACCCGGCGCCGAGTTTCTCTTAGCTCCTTTGTCCCTTTTGGAGCGAGGGATTGGAAAGGCTGGCGGGGGTGGGGTGTTTCGGGGCCCACGTAGGTGCGTCTGCAGCCTTACAAAGCCGCGACAGGAGAACTGGGCGTGGGGGCAGTTGGAGCATTTTGATCGCCCCAAGTGTCTGCCCTTCGTGAAGTTTGACGGGGCGGGTGGCTGGGTCTTGCCGGAAGCCCCAGCGCACTGGAGAGTTGGCGCTTTGTCGCTGGGCGAGGCTTCGGTTTTCCTGTGACAGCCCCAGAGAAGGCTTTGCCTCGCACCGCAGACCGCACCCGCCCTTGCAGAGCAGAGTGACAGGGTGTTGGGCTCTAAACCTCAGTTCCCGCGGACGCCTTGTAACCTAGAAGGAAAGGGGAAGCCTTTGCTGTACTTTTAAATTTGATATTTGCTCCCAAGCTCTAGAGTGGAATCAGATTCCGAAGAGCTTTCCCAGGAGCGTGCTTTTGGTTCATTGAGCCACCCACTCGAGCCGGCTGAGGCAAAGCAACAGTATAGGCAGATTTTTCCATTCACAAAAGTCGTTTAACATTCTTCTTTATGAGAGACATCTGCGCTGCAGAACATACCCTAATTTCATTTTATCTAAATACTGTCTGAAGTAAGTACTCGGGCTCTTCCTTAAGCAAATGGGAAAACTTCTCTAACTGATGATATAAGCATATTTGCTTTAAATAATTTAATGATGTTTTTGCTTTGCTGCTGCGGAAAGACCTAAATGACGTCTAAGTAATGTTAGAGTAACTTATGTATGGCATTTAAAAAAAATTCTCCCGAAATAGTCCCAAATTAGTGCCACTTTATGTCTTTTAAGATACTCATTCAAAGATTTTTGCCGCCCACAGGATTTCAGACTGTAAGAATTACGGAAGAAGAGGTGAATTATTTGTTAGGTTTTCTCCATTCCATAAACTTTCACCTAAACTTGATTATGCAGAGAGACTGATCAGTTTCTATTTTTGCTGGAACCTGTTTTGCAGTGAGATTATTAAGATACTACGAGTTTCATAAAACAGGTTGGAGAAGGAAGAGTAAGCCTACGCAATTTAAAATGTCCTCTATTAAAAATACAAATAAGTTCGAGTACTGTGTATGTAATTTTTTTCTTTCGATAGCAGCTGTGTATGGAATAATTACCGTATGCCTTTTTAGACTGCTGGTAAAGAGAATAGAGGTAACCTAAGAGCTACCTTTTAGGTCTTTAATTATGGAGATTAAATTGTGGTCAAATTCCATGTGAATAGTTTGAGCCACAATGCTCAACATGATTGCTTAGAAATGCTTGTTTAATTAAACATCATCGTGGCTTGTTTCATTGAATGGTTATGGAACTGTTGATCTGTGGGAAAATGCTGCTCTTTTTTTTTTCACTTAGGATGTTACTGCATTTTAAAAGCAATCAAATATGGTTCTTACAACAAGTTCATGGCACATAGACATTTGCCAAAGTGATGTTTACTTTTCATGTTATGAGATGATGTTTCACTTTAAGAAAAATGACAAAACTATGAATTTGTAAAGTATGCATTGCAGAACGATCTTTTTACTTGATTTTATTGATTAACTGATTGATTTTTGGCACTGGGGAATAAACAGAACTACACTAAACTACATTCTAAGCCCTATTTGTTTATTTGAGACAGGGTCTTACTAAATGGTTCAGGTTGGGCTTGAACTTGATATCTTCCTGTCCAAGCCTCCAAGGGTGCTGTGATTACAGCATGTGCCACCACACCTGAAGGATTTTAACCATTGTGTGCTCTTAGTACATTACAACTTGATGTGGTTTATAAATAATCAGTCAAGAGCAGCTTACTTGAATTGCAGAAAGGCAAAGAATTGATACTTTGATATAGCTTGAAGTTTTTGATATAGCTTGGAAGTTTTTTACTCTAATCGCAATATGTAAGTAGTATATTTGTGTTATATCCAAAATTGAAAACATTTATAACAATGATCTTGGATTATCAGTCAATTCAACAATAGGAGAGATAGGTTTTACTTTATTTGTATGGTCAACAAATAAGGCATTAAAACAACTTGAATTTTAAAAAGGCCTGTAAGAAATATGCTTTTGATGAATGTGGCTGGGTCAGTAGAGGTGCTTGGTTGGAGCAATTGTGATTGAATTATGTATAGTTATTTTGTGGATGTAACATGGGAATAGATATGTGGACTAATATTGTGTGCAAATTTCTGGTCAGTATGCAAGAGATTTTGGATTGATCCTCCTGCTTGCCTTGGTGCCCACCTTTCATTGTACCTTCATAAATGCATGAAGTTGTAAGTATTATCTGGAAGACATGATAAAAGGGACTTTTTTCCTTTCTAAAAAGTGTTGTCAACTTTGCAAGGGTGAGAGGTTTCTTTGGAGACCTTCTAGGGTAGAAATCCTTGTCCTAGAACATCATGCTCTTACACCCTTTGCTATTTTTACCTTTGTTAAAGTTTCAGACAGTGTAAGCTCTCTATGATAGCAAGAACCTTCTCTCTTTTTCTCAACAGTTCATCTTCAAATGCTCAGTAGTTTACTGGGTCAAAAAAAGTGTAGTCCCAGATGTATGACTAGAGAAAAGAATATGTGATTAACATAATGTATCTCAAACTAAATATGAGCAGTAAGGTGATAGAGGAAGGATGCTAACTTCGGAAGAGAGGCACAGGTCATTTAATCTGTGAAACTTTCTTGGAGGAGATGATTCTTGTGTTAGGTCTTGAAGGGGGCTGTGTAGCTGAAGATAACCTGGTGTCCTTCAGGGTGGACAACTGAACCAGAGCTTTTAAATTGAAGTGAAGTATGTTAGATTTAACACAGTGAGTATTTTTATAAAGTAACATTATGACAATTTTTTCTCCTGTCACAATATTTGCCTCTCTCCTGTTAAAAGAATTGGCACATATTATAAATGCTAAAATATAGAGTATAGTACTTAGTTTTCGGGAGTGGTAATAGTACAATTAAAGGGAGAGCATTTAAATTGTGGTTGGAAATTTGGACACCTGACTGCATCTTATGCAAGTAATGTGTCCTTTGGCAAATTACTGCATCTTAATTCTCTCCTTTGTAAAGTGAAGATAATTAATGATTTCTACCATGGTTGTTAGAAGAATGAAATTATATAACATGGTGAAAATATCTTAATATCTATTTGTAGAAATATATCTTTAAGAAATATACAATTATTTAAATTTTTTTGTTTCTAGATTTAAAAAAAACATTTTCATCCATTTATCACGAATTCTAGTATCTACTTAAGCCATCTAGTTAGCCCATGGTAATACTTTTATCTAAATCAAAATTTTAGATGGATAGTTTTCTTTCAGTCGAGCTTAATGCTTACTGATAGAAAAGAAAGTTTAATTGTTACTTTTTTTTGGTACTGGAGATCGAACTCAGGTCCTTGCACTTGCAAAGCAGGTGCCAGAACCACTGAGCTAGATCCCTGGCCCTTAATTGTTACTCTTTAGTGTCACAGACCACAGAGAATGCTAGATGTCTCAGAGTTTTAAAGTATTAACAAAGGAATAAGTGCAGCCAAGAACCTGACCTTTATTCTTTTCTTTCCTAGAAAATTTGATTTTGAAGAAATTGTCTTTGCTTAATAATAAGCTGCCTGTTGATTATTGTGAGGAAAGGAGGAGTTTTCCAGTTACTGTATACATTTGCCAGCTGGGTCCGGTGGTGCACATCTATAATCCTGTAATCCTGGTTAATAGGTTCAATTCTTAGTACCACCAACAAACCAACTAACCAAGCAGACAAAAACCTACTTCCACACACAAAACAAAAACCACAAGAAAATATTTACCAAGCATAATGTCGTTATGTTTTTAGTGATATGAATGACTGTAAACCACAAAGATCTCTCTTCTGTTTTTAATTATAAAATTCAGTATTTTTTGAACAGACCAAAAGACTTCTGCATCATTTATCTAAACTTTCACTCCAGTAGTCTTTAGTCTTTTATAAATTTCAGAATTTCACTGTACTTTGTGACCTCTTTTATTGCTCATCATCCATGGAACAGTCTGCCCTTTGTAAAATATATTTTTTTTCTCTCATTGGGTTTATTGGTACATTTTAGGTATACAGTACAGTTACATTCATCATTGGGATCTTGTACCTCTTCATGACAGGTCTTGGTTCTCATTTTTTCTCATTGTCCCTGCCCTCCTTTCACCCACTCCTCCCCTCCCCATTTATAAACACTTTATTTCCATTTTTTCATTTTCTCATATTTTTTTCTTTTCCCTTATTACCTTTCCCCTACCCTTCCCACTTTCCCTACACTTTTATTTGTATAATATTTTGAAGGGAATTTTATTATGAAAGACCAAGAAGAGGCTTGAGTTTTCAAATGATAAAGAAGACAGCTACCTGAAATCTTCCAGATTCACAAAGAACTGAAGAAAAGGGAAAGTATTTTTAGGGCTTAGCTCTTTTCAAATAAAAGCAGAAACTTGGTTTAGTGTGGTTAAAAACTGATAGATTAAAAGGAAATGTGCCTTAGAGGAATGACTGGCATGATAATAATAGCTAACATGTTGACTTCTCACTGCATACCAGGTGCAACTCTAAAGGTACTTGACACATATCCCATTTAATCCTCACAGGGTTGCAAAAAGCCAGGCTATTTCCTTCTCTTTTAAACCTGAGTTGCAGAGAGTTAAGTAGTAAGTAGTGGAATCTACCAAAAGGGTTGAACTTTAAGGGTAACCCAACCTTCTAATTACTGCTATTTTTTACTGCCGTGTACAGTTCATTTGCAGTTGCTACTCATGATACTCTTAGCTTTGTCTTTCTGAGTCTGTTTTACTGGTATGATTTGATAAAAATGTAAAGTAGAA